CGTCGGTTGACAAACCTAGGGAGAGGTTATATCCGAGCACTTGAGGAGGAGGACATGAGCTAGAATCCTACACTTAGTGTGTAAAGTGTGATTGCATAGTGTTTGTTGTGTGAGAGTTTTCGGTAAACTTGTAAACCGAGTGTCTAGAAGTTCCGGCTTCCAAACCGATTGTGATAGTGGATATCTCCTCGAGATGAGGAGTGGGGACATAGGTCGTGGGGACCGAACCTCATAAACATATCGTGTGTTTGTGTTTGCTTAGCGTATATCTTATTTATGCTTATTCTTGTTCATATCTATCTCATATATCTCTTGCAAGATCAAATTAATCAATATAATTTTAATTGGCATAAAATAGAGATTAGATTAGCATAAGACCCTAATCACCCCCTCTAGGGTCTAACAATTAATATCAGAGCTTGGTGCTTTTTGATTTAAGGACTAATCGCCTTGAGTTAAAGATCCAAATTATCGTTTTTGTGATATTTCATACTTGCTAGGATAACTTGTTAATTAGTTTTTAATTGACATTTAATCGGATTAGATTAGCATAAGACCCTAATCACCCCCTCTAGGGTCTAACAATTAATATCAGAGCTTGGTGCTTTTTGATTTAAGGACTAATCGCCTTGAGTTAAAGATCCAAATTATCGTTTTTTGTGCTAATCTAGTTTTGATTGTATTTTGCCTCTTGCATATAATCATTATGGATATGGATGATGCATCTAATGGATATGTATGATGCATCTAGTTTAGGTTATGCTATTAATGTTGCTCCTCATTTGGATATTTTCCCCTATGCTAAATGGTGTGTTAGATTCAAACTTTTTGTTCAATCTAAACAATTCGATTTATGGAAAATTATTGAGGATGCTTATATTGTTCCCACTTCGAAAAATCCAAGTGGAATAAAGATGATAAAAGGATGTTTAATATGAACAAGCTTTTGTTAGAATATTTGTTTAGTGTCTTTCACTCATCCATCTCTAACAAATTTGTTCATTTTGATAGTGCTTACACCTTATGGAAATTTATTGAAGCACATCAAGGGGACTTGGAGGCTCGCTTTGAGTTCTAAAGGAGCCTCATCTCCATGTACACTACCACTAGGTGATAACCCTAGTGAGGTATGCGAGCTTGACAACGATGATGGTATTACTTTTGATGAGCTTGCGCTTGAATTTGAAAAATTATACAATATCTATATTGATTTAAAAAGTAAGCATGTTAATATAAAATCCACTCATGAAACACTAGTCATTAAGTTTTATTTTATTGCAAATGAAAATATAATTCCTAAAGAATGCAATGAAAATTTGAGATTAGAAAATGCTAGTTACTTAATAAAAAATGTGATGGCATGTTAGAAGTAGAGATTAGTAAAAATAAATTAAACTCTATGATGAATGATCATGTTAATCCTATTTCTAGTAGCAATGCTTGTATGCATAATAAAAAACGCATATCAACCTTAGATTCAACACTAAACACTTGTATTGCTAATAACAAAAAGCTTATGGACTTGTGTGCAAAGCACTATGATAATTCTTCTAAGAAAGCTATTCACTATGCACGCATGTATGACAAAATTCCTAAATGTTCTATTTACGGTCTTAAAGGCAATTTAGCCAAATTTTGTCATAATGCACAAAAGCTTGACAAGCCTATTCATGATTGTGCATCCCATCAAGCTTCTTCATCTCATACACATGTACACACATATAGTGTAAATCATAAACATACTCATGTGTACAAATGTGAATATTGTGATCGTTTTGGTCATTTGGCCATGTTTTGTTTTGATTTGAAAAGAAATTCTCGTTTGTAAAATAATTACAAAGAAAAACCTATTTTTGCAAATGAACCACGTGCACATCATTTCGGTCAACGCAAACCATTCAAACCCCTACATTGCACAAATTGTAATCGTATGGGTCATGTTTACGATTTTTGTTTTGACTGTATCGGTGCACAAAATACGCCCAAATGAGTTCATAACCCTAGGGCATTGGATTTACATGATAAGGGTCATGTCCCAAATTATATTGGTACCAAAAAGATTTGGGTACCAAAATGAGCTCTATTTCACATCTTTGTTTTGTTTTTGAATAATTGGTTTTGAGCTTAAATGTTGATCTTTTTGTTATTAAGCTAAAATAAAATATTTTCATGGTTTACTAGCTAAAAGCCTAAAATAAGGAGGTTGGAAGGCATCATCCAGCAGATTTAAAGAGTAAGGTGATCCAAAAGCAAAATCTTTCTGACTCCTGGAAATTTAAATCTGTTGGTACTTCATCATGGAAAGACATTTGTACCATGGGACGTGCGATAAATCAAAATTGCTCTTTAGAATACTTTCCTCCATCGATTGATAGCAATGGTATCCGTTATGCTTCTATACCCAGATCTGAGATTCTCCTTAATGTGGAAAAATGGAATAACACTTTAGTTGGTTATGTCCTCGGAGATAAACCTTTCTTTTCACACCTGAAAGGTTGTGTTGGTCGTCTTTGGAAACTTTCATGCTCACTTGATATTTATTCTAGAGAGAATGGTTTTTTCTTTTTTAAATTTGTTTCAAATGAAGAATTAAACAAGGTTTTAAATGGTGGCCCTTGGTTGTTTGATGGCAGATTGATTATTCTGAAAAAGTGGACCGAGAATATTGGATTAGAGAGAGATCTTCTTAACTCAGTCCCAGTTTGGATTAGATTTCCATCGCTGCACCTTAAACTATGGTCTAATAATATTATTGGGCGTATTGCTAGTCTTGTGGGTACTCCTCTTTATATTGATCAAGCTACGGCAACTGGTGAGAGACTAGCTTACGCTAGATGCTTTGTGGAGATCTCCTCTAACATGAAGCTTCCAAATTCTGTAAGGTTGGATCTAGGAAATGGAGAATGGCTAGAAACTACTGTTGAGTATGAATGGGTTCCTCCTAAATGTAGTAAATGCTTAAACTTTGGACATGTTGATTATCAATGTTCTGTAGAACTTGTTGAGAAATGGATCCCTAAAGAGACTGTTAATAAGGCTGAAAGGAGAAAGAATGATGGAATTCCTATTACAGTATTTTCGAAGACAGACATGATTGACAATCAGCAAAATGGTAAACCAGATATTATTCCTACCAATTCAGGAAATTTTATTATTTCTGGGTCAGGTTCTGATAACCCAAAAACTGTTATTGATATTGATACTCCTCCGGTAGTAGTCCCATGCTGTTCTGATAATGTGAATACAGATAGTAGAGTTCAGTCTGATTTAAACTCTGTATCTTCTACAAAATCTGATTCTATCTGTACTAATGCCATTTCAGGAAAAGATAATATTAATGCAGAGGATGTTTTGATTGAAGAAAAATTTTCAAAGGAAAATAAGGAGGTTGATGATAAAGAGGAGCTATCAAATAATGAAGATGCAAATGCTGAGGAGTTGTTTCATGATGAAGCCAGTAGAATTGATGTCCTTTCTGGAGCTGCAGACTTATTACAACATAATGACTACATTGATACAGATTTGAATTCTGGGAATAATACTCATATCAAATCTATAAATTCAGGTATTCAAGATCAAGCCAAAAAAACACAGAGGTGAATGTATCTGTGCAATCTGATGGAGAAAATGGGAATGAAACAGGTATTGATTTTCCTATTGCTATTGACAACCCTGATTGGATAACAGGTAAAAATCAGCTGTTGATGAAGAAGAAATATAACCAGGTGAAGATAAATAGAGATTCTTCTTTAGGCCCTAAGAGAGTTACAAGGGCATCATCAAATACTACATCATGACAATGTTATTTTGGAATGTAAGGGGCATGAACAATTTGAGTAGAAGGAAGGATATTAAAAGACATATCAAATCTTTGAATCCTAGTCTTATTGGTTTGTTGGAGACCAAAGTAAAACCTGCAAAGTCTTACAGAGTGTCCAAATGTTTCCCTCCTCACTGGTCATACTGTAACAATTATACTGCTTCTAGTAGAGGAAGAATTTGGGTAGCTTGGGATGCAGAGGTCTGGAATGGTACAATTTTATCTGTCACTTTACAACAGATAACAATAATGCTACAAAATAATGGTGGTCTCAATCTAATGTTGAGTGTCATTTATGGAGAAAATTCAGAAACATTAAGATCTACTTTATGGGATGATATTACTGATATTCACTCTCAAATTAACACAATGTTGTGGCTTTTAGTGGGGGACTTCAATGTTTGTAGATACACATCAGAGAAAATTAGAGGAAGGAAGCTTACTGCAAGGAATCTGAAAGATTTCAATGATTGTATACAGAAATGTGGACTGTCTGATATCAAAAGTTCTGGTTCATCTTGGACATGGCATAATAAGCAACAAGGTAGATACAGAATATATGGTAAGTTGGATAGGGCCCTGAGCAACTCTTTTTTGATAGATAAGTTTCCTCAAATGTTTATAGAATATAAATGCACCTCTTCTAGTGATCATACTCCAGCCCTTGTCCATCTTATGCACAGCACTAGTTCAGGGCCAAAGCCATTCAGATTTTTTAACTACTGGACTCAATGTCAGGGTTATGAAGATGTGGTCAAAAGTGTCTGGAACATTTTAAAAGCAGGTACTCCAATGTTCAAGTTGGTTTCTAAACTAAAGGAATTAAAATCTGCTCTAAAAATTTGGTCAAAACAGCCAGGCATTTCAACAAAGGAAAATATTATAAAGCTGTCAAAACAGTTGGAGCACATCCAGAATGAGCTCAATAAAGACATGGAAAATGAGAGCTTGCAATCTACTGAATTAGCATTATGTTTCGAGCTAGATGGATGGTTAAGCAAGGAGGAGGATGAGATGAGGCAAAAGAGTAGACAATCATGGCTACAACAAGGGGATAGAAATACTCAGTTCTTTTATAATGCTATCAAACAAAGAATATCTATGAATAGCATACGACAACTGATTGACAAAGATGGTTCTCCTATCTCTTCTATTGACCAAATTAAAGTCATGGCCCCAAAATTTTATGAAGGGTTATTCAATCAAACATCATATTGGAGTATTTTCCCTAAACTGACAGTTAAGAGAATTCTAACTGATGAAGCAAAACAATGGTTATGCAAGGATATAAGTTACAAGGAGATTAAGGATGCTCTTTTCCAGATGAATCCAGATAAGGCACCAGGACCTGATGGTTTTAACGCCTATTTTTATCAACAGAACTGGAGTTTAATCAAGACTGATGTGGTTCTAGCAGTGAAGTCCTTTTTCTCATCAGGTAAACTCCTTAAACAGATCAATCATACTTTCCTCACCCTAGTGCTGAAATCACAAGAAGCATCTTCCATAAATGATTCTAGACCAATATCTTGTTGCAATGTCATATACAAGATTATATCTAAAATTTTGAGTAATCGTCTTAAATT